AGCTTTCTTTACCTTGTTTTCATACCAACAGTCCCTACCCATGACACTCTACTTGCCTGCTGGGTTTGGTAATCCACTTCACTGGCTTCAAAGAGAATACTATCAAAAGAGTTTACTAGAGATGCTAACACTACAAAATGTTAAGGATACAATTCTTTTGTCCGCAGTACTGCTTCTCACACACCTTGGCAGACATCTCTCTCTTTGGCCTTGGCCTCTTAGCCATGTGGTCCCTTGGCCTCTGCCCTGCTTTGGTGAGACTTAAAAGGCTCCCTTAGCCCTGATAAATAGCCACAAGGCACTACGGTCTGCAAGGTAGCCTTCCAGCCTAAAGCATTCAGATGTACTAGTCCTAGAGTCTGGGAACCCCGCTATTATTCTCTTCTTGCTTAGTGTACTCCTCTCCTGTGTCGCATGGTCTCTTGGTGGTGCTGCTCTGCTGGCATACTTCACTCCTGGCTTTGCTCATTTGGGCACTCATTGGGGTACTCTGATTCTGCTTCTGAGATGGCCTATTTCATTTCCAGCTGAATGCCAGAATTCTCCTGCGTTAGTATCCTCTCCGCCATATTTGCTTGTTCCATCCCAGTCATTTGGTGGGAGTTTAAAAGACTGGACAGAAGAGCCAGACCATGTAATTTCATTTTACCATAGTTTTCAGTTTCTCTTCTGTGCACATTTAAAAGTGATATGGGGCAACTGTGTCTGAGTTCTGATGTAACAAAAGGAGTAGGAGAGTCAAGTTCAACATCTCAAGACCAATTTCTAGGAACTGGGGTTAGATATGCCTCTATCCTCCTTACCAATTCTGATACCAGCTGTTTCACAACACTACTTCTCAGATGGATTAGATAATTCATTGCAGTGGCCACACCAACTCAAAGACCATACTCAAGGTTGAAGACTTTATTTGGGAAGTTAAAAGGTTACAATTTAGGATCAGGAATGGCTCAAAACAGTTTTTCGATTAGGATAGGCTAGTAGCCATGTCCACTGGGAAGCTTCTCACTGGTCCTTTGTCAGCCAGGCAGCTTCTTGACCTTTGTTGTGCTCAGACAATACTTCAGAGCTCTTTCACTGATGCTAATTAATGTCCAGAGGATATGCTACCTTTCCATAAGCTTAGCCTAAACATGCTTAGCTCTAGCTGTTTGGGTCAGCAAGCCCTACTTCCTTAATTAGTGCATGGAGGCCTCTTACCCTGCAATTTACCTTCCCTTGCTATGTGGACCAGGTAACTTAGCGTTCTGTTTTTGTGCTGTGCATTTTGTTTTTGCTACGGTGGTTCCTCTGCCACTTCTCTGGTGTCCCAGCTTTCTGTCTCTGGATCAAGGGGGTTCAGTGTGCTGGAATGGCAGGGTCCAAAGGATGTCCCCATTTCTGGCTCTTGATGATAATGAGATTCCTCCCTCTCTGTTGCTGAGGAGCTGGCTCATTTTACACTCAGCAGAATGGCAACATTGGTCAGTCTGCACACTAGAGTTCTACATTTTTACAATCACAATTATCTCTGTTAACAGTCACTCACAACTGAATCCTAAAATCCTGTTAGCATCCTCCCCTACATTCTCTTACTCCTTCCTCTCAGGAAAGAGTCATTTGGTGGGAGTTTTACAGACCAGGGGTGGAAGATTCATATCAAATAATTGATTTCTTTGTTAAAATTGGATTATCAAGTGTTTAGTTTTAATGATTCTATAAAATTCAGGCTTATGATTATATTGCAAATTAAATTGTTAGTTTATTTTCTGTTTAAAAAGTTGTATTAAATTAAACACTTTTAATTAACTTTTCAACATTTTACTAGGAAAAAATTTAAAGTTATTGAAAATTTCAAAAAATTTTATACTGAACTTTCATATGCACACTCCTGAGGGTCTACAAATTTTTTCTGTTTTCATTATCTGTCATCTACCCAATTATCCATCCTTTAGTTAATTTTTTTAAACACTAGGGTAAGTAAAAAATCATTCTTAGAAAACCACAGAAACTTTTACTAAACAAAAATATCAAAACGTGAAGCTATTATCTCCAATCATTTTCTCCATCAAGGTCAATACATTTCTGAAGGGAGTGTTTCAATCTCTCTAGCCCTTCTCCAAAGATTTCTATGCCTTTTATTTATACCACTTTAAAATGGCAATTTTGACATCCTTGAGAGACTCAAATTATGTTCCATTAAATGTTCTTTAGTTTGGGGAACAAAAAACTGATGGGGCAAGATAGGACTGTAGGGTGAATGGACTAGCATTTCCCAGTCACTTTCTCCCAGGGAAAGAGCTTGCAGCTCTCGGAGAATGACTAGGAGCTTTCTTAGGATGAGCAACAAGTTGATTGGTTAAACTTTCTGGCCATTTTCTCCACAATGCAGTTTCCAACTTTTTTCCAACTTTTTTCATAATAACAACCTAGCATCTTTAGAGAAAATCTGTGAATATTACTGTGTCCCCAAAACAGTAACCTTTTGAGCTGACCTCTCTTGCTTGAATTTAACTGGATCAGCTGATTCTCCTCAGAGCCATTGTTTTGATTGGACCTGTTTTTGGAAGGCACTCAAATGAGAACAAGACTTTTGTATTCCTGAGAGAACTTGTCTGCAGCCACCCCCTGATGACAGAGACTTAACTTTGACTAAACCCATCAGGTGTGAACTGTAATAACAGCGATACTTTTTGACTCCATATATAGAAGCTGAGTCACACATTTCAGGTACATTTTATAAAGCATTGTGCTAAATTATCACCAGGGAAACTTTTGGTGCTAATTTATACTATTGGCAGTAATTTTTTAGCACACTTTCAGAAACCCTGTCAACACTGGATTTTATTTTTTTATATAAAACTGGTGTGGTGTCAAACCTCTTGTAATTTCAAGGGGAGAGAAGAGAACTCACATTAACGTCAGCCGAGGCCGATTTCTCTGAGGTGGAGTTCAGACATAATCTGCACTTACAAGCCTCCTTAACAATTCTGACACTTTCCTACTGAGTTTTAGAATTCATTGCAATGGTTACAGAGAACCCATAGCCATACATGAGTATGGCTATGGGTTTCATTAGGAAAGTAATAGGTTACAGTCCAGGACCAGGATCGATTTGAAAATATATGGAGTGGTTCAGGCCATTATTAATCTTGGCTGTACCTACAGGCAGCATTATCAATCCCCAGTCCTCATTTTTGGGCCTCAACTCTGGGCTTGGTCTCTGTCCCACTCTACAGCAAGTTTTATAGAGCTAGTTAGCTACATCGAAGACCCCCATTTCAGCATCAGGTCCCCTACCCCAGGTCAGTGAACTAGTCTATTACTCCCATGCCATTGCTCTCTTGTGCCATCTTCAGGGTTACAGTTCTGCTTTCTTGGTCTAGAAGGTTATCCTTGCAGATACCCTAGATCCAAAGGACGTGCTGTGGTTTAGCTCTCATTGGTAAAAATGAGATCCTTCTTCCCAGCTGTAGAACTTGCTCCCTTAAGCCTAAAAGGATGATACAACTGACTAATTGCCTACATGGGTTACACACACCCTGCTTGCATGGTCCCACCTCTGTGGCGGCTATATGCCCCTTATTTGCACTAACAAGCTGTATAATCCCTTTGGTGAACCCAGAGCATATTATTTGCCTAGGTCTACCTAGTCGTTTTGTGGGAGTTTCAAGGCCCAAGTTAGAATCACCATATTAAAGCAATTCACTGCACTGTACACATATTTTGAAAGTTTTTGGTGAAGTATCACTAAAGTTCATTTTTCTTTTTTTCCCCCTTGTATCTTCAATATGATTTTCTTTGAATGTAATATGGTTGACCCTTGAACAACGTGGATTTGAACTGTGCAGGTCCAGTTTTATGTGGATTTTTTTTTTTAATGTTGCTATGACTGAGCTCAAATGTTGGGAGTATCCATTTAAAATGCTGTGTGACGCTAATCTCTGCATGAGCAGTACACACAGAGATGATTAGCATCATGCAATGTTTTAAGCAGATACTCACAGTACATGAATTCACCCCCATAGCAACGGGGGAAAATCCCTCCTAGAAATAGGCCTGTGCCCTCACAGGGTCGCATGAAAATTAAAGGTGGGCTCTCCAAGAGGGAGGTGGTTCAAGGTGAACTGTACTCCTAAAAACAGCCATTTACCGCTTGCATTGGTCATCTGATTTTTACTCTAGATTTTGAAATGAAGTGCACGTAGTTTGTTCTTTGTGCCACCTTTTGTTTCTCAGAGAAATACAGTACTTATTGAAGGTGTAGCTCCAACTGTACCTTTATTTTCAGCCCCCATATTGCTAGTCCTTCAGCTTTCAGTTTCTGTACTAGTGTAACAATAAGTGTTCTAACAAGAGAGTTAGCTGTAGTGTTCGCAGTTTCTCTCTCTCACAGAATATTTGGTGCTATGGAAGAGAATAATAGGAGCAATGAGAAGTGGAAACTCATGAGTTAAATGTTCTTTCACTCACTGGGGAGTCCGGTTGATGTAACTGTTAATGTGACTTGGCCGCTAACTGAAAGGTTGAGGTTTTGGATACTCAGATCCCTTCCAAGAAAGTCCTGATGCTCTACTTAAGAAAATTCAACCAATGAAAACCCTTTGGCTTTACTTGGACACACGTGGGAGCCCCTTAAGTTGGTTGGACTTCACTGAAGCTTTTCCCTCCACTTACTGGTCTTGTTTCTCCCTCCCTTCATCCCACTTTTCTGATTCATGTCCCACTTGTTGTATCTGTGTCCCACTTTGTACTGATGTAAACACTCAAGTGAAATACAGGTTGATTTGAACTGTTTTGCAAGATAGGTACCTGTAGTATGAAGTAGATTCAAAGGTGAAAAGTCTGATAACAACAGCCCTTTAAGCTAGAGATTGCTAACAGTATTTATTGTTTTATGAGCAACTTGTACATAGTAATTTGTTAACTCATATAGCTGTAAGTAATTCTGTGGAAATCCAGTTATAACTATTTTGCCTTTGATATCCTGTGAGTTTTCATTCACATCTCTTTGTTTACAGCTGGGCTCAAAATGCAGAGAACTCCAAGACATTCATTTTGGCCAGTGTTACCAGATCTCAGATGAAGGCATGGTCGTCATCGCTAAGGGCTGTCTGAAACTACAAAGAATATACATGCAGGAAAACAAATTAGTAAGTACTTGACATCAACCTGGTATTGCTCATTTTCTTTCTGACTTTTGAATTTGGTTACATTTTTTCCCTCATTTTCTTTTAGAGCCCAAAAGGCAAGAATCCTCTTAAAGCAATGATTTATAAGTGGATTATATAACTGAATAGGTGCTTGTATACTTGTGTGGTAAAAGTTCCTCCTTAACATATGTTAATGAGTCTTTTCAAAATTCTGACTGCGAACCAATTCAGGTATATCATAAAAAACCTTTTAATTGCTCAATATAAGTATGTGGTTTATAATTCCTCTGGTGCCCTTAGGGACTATAAAGATTTTAGATAATTAGGATTTTTAATACCGAGGAAAGTGCCTATTTGTGAAATATAGCATTTTCCTTAGTTTGGTGAAAAATGGGATTCAATAAATTGGGGCAGATAATCTTGGTAGTTTCATAGGTTTCATACTTCAGCACTTGCATGTGTAAATTTATGCACACCTAATGTATTTTATTCAATATATTTGAAGTTGTATAATTCTTTTCAGATATAATTCACATATAAAACTCCCATTTTAAAAAGTAGACATGTTAGTTTTTAGTACATACAGAAATTGTGTACAAACTTTGTGCATTATTCTTACCTTATGCTTATTAGTTATCACTCTATTCCCTCCCTAAGCCTGGACTGCTACTAATTTACTTGCTGTCTCTGAATTTGCCTATTTTAGACATTTCACATCAGTAAAGTTGTATAATACATACTCTTATGTTTGGTTTCTTTTACCCTACATAATATTTTCAATGTTCATCTATGTTGTAGTATGTATCAGAAGTTCATTCCTTTTTATGTCTAAATAAGATTCTGAAGCCATTTAATTTTGATTTGATAGAGGCATGAATGTTAACAAAAACGTCACTAAGGAAGCACTAGTAGGAGATAGCATCCTTTGAAAATATTGTACATTCATGTACAACATAACGTGTGTTCAGAAATCTATCCATTTTACACAACATGGGGCCCAACCCCTGTGTAGCTTATTATATTAAAATTTCAAGGTACATGCAATGGATCATAATAACAAAAGGTTACTTTGGGATTCACATAAAACATTATTACTGCTGCATTATTTTGTTAAAGATGTTTTAGGGAATCTTGAAGTGTTTCTTTATGCTTTTGTGTATCAAAAGGTACACTTTGTACTATATCCTATGACACACATTATACGTGACTACCTAACTCCCAATTTACATACAAATTTGACTTAAGACAGATATTGGAATAGAACATGTTTATAATCTGAGAACTTCTGCTATATAATATGGTGTTGCATACTTGACCAGATCACATGTTTCATGGATTGTATTGTGAAATTTAAGTGATATATGCCTGTACTTGAAAATGCTGGCAGACTGATCCTGAAAGTGTAGCATATATATGAAGAATACTTGCTTTTTAATTTTATTCAAAAAAATAGTTTTTTTCTTGCTCCTTGGAGTTGCTTTATAAAATTTAATGAATATTTTTTTGTTTTCATACTTGAATTTAACTTTTGAAAGGCCTCTTAATAATATTAGCACTTCAAGTGAGATAGGCTGTTATTTTTTTTCATAATTTTTGTCCAGTCTTTTATGTTCTTTGCATATATGTATAACACCATTCCATGCAAGAAGGAAAGACTTAAAAAATTAAAATAATAAAAAAATAAAAATAAAAGGACTTTATTTTTTATTATTATTATTTTTAATCGTTTTATTAGGGGCTCATACGACTCATCACAATCCATACATACATCAATTGTGTAAAGCACATTTGTACATTCATTGCCCACGTCATTCTCAAAATATTTGCTCTCCACTTAAGCCCCTGGCATCAGGTCCTCATTTTTTCCCCTCCCTCCCCGCTCCCCCCTCCTTCATGAACCCTTGA